AAGTTCTTATTTCTGTATCCCTGCCCTATCTTGGAACCTTCTGTTTTTTGGTCAGTGTACATTTTCTCTTTCATTCTGGTAGTTTGTTTAAGGACAGTGAAGCCCATAGCACAGGCCATAGTGTCCAGGAAGTTTTACAGCCCAGATTCCTATACAAGCCTTCAAAAAAGGGCCTGAAGACTGCTGAAAGCTGTTCTCATGTATATTTGTAATGGCAGTAATTGGAAGATAGTAAAGAAAAATAGTAAGACTTGTTCTAATTACTCTGGGGAAGTTTGAGTAGCCACTGGAGGATGTGTCCCACCAGCCTACTGGTATAGAAAAATATTATCAATAATACACAAAAAGCCTGTGATGCTTGCATTCCACTGTTTTGTATAACTTCCCATTAGGTACTAATCTGCTTTCTCATTAATTATTTTGGTGATTCAAATATACTCTTCTCCTTTTTAAAAATCTTTGAGTGGTTTCTGTTGGATTTTTTGGCTTAGATTGTGTCTCAAGACTGTTATCACCTTTATCTACTATTGTTGTTTATTGTAATTAGCACCCAAATGTTCTAATCACATATGAGGAAAAACCCAAGAAAATCTCTATCAATGCAGAGAGTTTAGCTTTTGCTAACAGCACGGTTCAAGGGATAGGAACTACAAAGAAAGCTTCAATGCAGCAAAATTCAGAAAGTGGCAGAAAAATGCTGGAGGTTTCTATTTGTTTTATTAAAAAACTAACAGGTACTGCTGTTGATATCAGGGTTCATGGATAAGCACTTTCCATTTCTCTTAGCCCTTCTTCCAACTTTGCTAGGAGAAAGATTCCTCAAAGAAGCATAGCAGTTCCTTCTCTCTTTCTTTCTCGCTGTCTCCCTCTCTCTCCCTCTCTCTCTTCCTTTCCCTCTCTCTCCCTCTCCCTCTCTCCCTCTCCCTCTCTCTCTCTTTCTCTCTCTTTCTTTCTTTCTTTCTCACTTCCCCACTTTCTCTCCCTTTCTCCCTTTCTCCCTTTCTCCCTTTCTCCCTTTCTCCCTTTCTCCCTTTCTCCCTTTCTCCCTTTCTCCCTTTCTCCCTTTCTCCCTTTCTCCCTCTCTCCCTCTCTCCCTCTCTTTCTCCCTCTCTTTCTCCCTCTCTTTCTCCCTCTCTTTCTCCCTCTCTTTCTCCCTCTCTTTCTCCCTCTCTTTCTCCCTCTCTTTCTCCCTCTCTTTCTCCCTCTCTTTCTCCCTCTCTTTNTCTCCCTCTCTTTCTCCCTCTCTTTCTCCCTCTCTTTCTCCCTCTCTTTCTCCCTCTCTTTCTCCCTCTCTTTCTCCCTCTCTTTCTCCCTCTCTTTCTCCCTCTCTTTCTCCCTCTCTTTCTCCCTCTCTTTCTCCCTCTCTTTCTCCCTCTCTTTCTCCCTCTCTTCCTCTCTCTTCCTCTCTCTTCCTCTCTCTTCCTCTCTCTTCCTCTCTCTTCCTCTCTCTTCCTCTCTCTTCCTCTCTCTTCCTCTCTCTTCCTCTCTCTTCCTCTCTCTTCCTCTCTCTTCCTCTCTCTTCCTCTCTCTTCCTCTCTCTTCCTCTCTCTTCCTCTCTCTTCCTCTCTCTTCCTCTCTCTCCCTCTCTCTTCCTTTCTTTCCTGGCCACACTACCATCCAAGCACACTCTGCAGAGACAGAGAAGCTCTGTGCACAGAGCCCTGCACAACTTCTATCCAACACCAGCATCTCCCCAGCAATAGTCCTGAAGTCCCAGGACTGTACTCAGCTGCTCCAGTTCTCCTATTACGGTGAAAATCTCTCTTCACCTATTTTCAGTCCTGCAATCTTCAATCTTCTCCTTTTGCATGATTTAAAAAATGCAGGAGCAGCTGCATTTGCCAGAGTTCCATGTGGTACAGCGATTTCCTGTGGTGGAAAAATACACTCCAAGTAGTAATTACTGTAAGTCAAGTCCATTTAATCTGCACAAGGACTTTTACTGGCTTACACAGTTGGGGAGGATTTGGAAGGCCTGGTCTCCAAAGGTTTGTAGAACAGCAATCTTAAAGGTGTGATGCATTAGATTGCTGCTTACATAGGATAGCAGAGGTTTTGGTGTATTAGGCAGGCAGATATAAAGATGGAATATAGACTCCAGTTTCTCATTAGGTTAGGCTAATTAAGCAGCAGACATGGGATAACCATTCCATGGCTTCCCTATTCCCCTTTATTAATTTTACCATACGTTCTTCTTGAAACTAAGCAATTTTTCCTCTTCCTTGTATAGAAGTGCATAACAGTGCAGATGGTACCCTTTTTTCACCATTTTATTTCTATTTTTCAGGTCTTTCACCTGTCACACAAAAAGGAAGACTTTAGATTGTCTCCCATTAAAACAGCCACAGCATAGCTTTAAAATTAAACTGTCATATTGTGATCCCAATCCTACGTTTCCTTTCCTTTTCAATGTTCTGTCAACTAGCTAATTCATTTCATCTCCAAAAGAGGTTGTTTGTTATTTTTGTACTGTGGAAGCCACTGGTATTGTTTTAGGATTGAAACTGGCAGAGGAAAGGAGCATGAGATGCTTGTAAAAACACATACCACAGAACCATAGAATTGCATGTATTTTAGTTTCTAAAATTTCCTTTTAACATTGTTAATAAGATGCTTCCCTAATTGACTGAGCTAAACTTTGGACATTTCTTTATTATTTTCCTTTTCTCCTATTTTCTTTATATGTTTACATAAGCTGAAATCTATATCTGTAGATTTTATATCTTTATTTAAATTTTGCCCTAATTTTCCAAGCTGTGGTTTAGTCTTTTGCAGAGAACCTAGTGATCTCTAAACCACAATTTGAAAAACAGTGCTTGGAAAATAACCTTCAGTTCTTGTTTTTGTCTTTTTGGAATTAGAGAATTTATGAGTCCAAGTTCATAGACTAAAGATTTTTGGGACCAGGACTGATTCCTATGAAGAATGTTGCCTAATGCAACCCAAAGTAGGGCATATCAGCTATTGAGAACGATATATTTCTTCAAAAATCAGCAAAATACATACAAAGGGGCTAAAACAAATTATTATCACCCAGGAGATCAAGCCATAAACTGCCATAAAGCAATAGAACATTCCATCTTGATGATCACAATTACAATAATAGCTTTAGATAAGATGTTCCTCCTGTGAAGGGAGCAGGAAAACTTCTTTGCAGTCTTATGTCTAGGTGTGGATATTTTCCTACATTTTTTTAAATGTATCATCTGTCTATTACATGAAGACCCTCAACATATTAGGAAATCTTTGTTTATACTTCAGTGATTCTTCAGAAAGAATCACTTTGCTTTGCTACAGTTCTCTATATTAGAACCTTTCCTACCAGACAAGAATATTTCTTGACCAAAAAAGTTACTGTACCACATGGCCAATGTGAATACTAAATACTCAGGTACTATTTTTAAAAGCATGTCTTTGTGCAAGCAATTTGAAGTTGATAATACAGATTTATAAATTTCTTAAATTGATTATTTGGTTAATGTCTCCCTCTTACCATGGGGTAATATGGGTAGTTCCAAATACTCTTTCAGCATGTTTAAATAAATGTCAAGGTTTTTCAAAATAGACTTTTTTAGCTGAAAACAAGCTGTTAGCAATATCTGTGAATTTCCACAATGCATCTCTTCAGCATAAAAGTCTATATAAGTATTTCCCTTAAAAAGAAAACCCTAGAAATAAAGGTAATTGCTTAAGTAAGCAATTTTAAAGTTAAATATTGTCTTAGAAGTACAGTGGATGGAAAACAGTTGCTTGGTACTGCATGAATACTCCACTGAGGTTAATTAGCTCAGGTTTTGGAGGAGCCAAGGAGGAATGAGAGGTAATCCAAAGTTTGGATTGAATTATTCTTCTGGGGAATTGCAAATGGAGTTTACAAATTTCCAACTGTGCCGAGTGTGGTATGGGGGTTTTCTTTCTTTAGAAAATTGCTGTTTGGAAACAGTTCCAGCACTACGTTACAATGCTATGTTACAGTCATGAGCTGCCAAAGTTATCTTTGGTAAATGATCCTCTCTCGAGTCAAGAGCTGAGTGTTTAGGTGCCCACTTCTGGGACTCCCATGTTTTCCTGTGTTTACAGCAGAAGTGCCTCTAATTTGGGGCCCATTTTCCAGGTCTACAGTCCCTTTGACTCATGTCCTGCAGCTCCCTGTCACTGCCAAAGAGACACTCTGTGTCAGGAGAGATTCACCGAGCTTGTGCTCGGAGCATGGGAGATGTCCTTCTGTACGTGGCCCTTCCACTGCTAATCAAGCACTGAGAGGTGGGGGAGGCTTAAGAAGAGGAGGCTGGTTTGGATTTTTTTCTTCAGTCGTGTTCTGTTTTCATAGCACTGTGTTTGGTTTCCAACACAGTGATGAAAAGTGATCATGAGATAACTACAGCACAGGCTGGTGTGCTGCCACATCAGGAAAAACACAAGCAAAAGACTCTGCACAGTGTCTCATCTTTGCTTCATATACTTATTATTAACATACATTCAAGCAACTGGATCTTTGCCTTGGCTGAGCTCCTGTCCTGGAAGACTTGCCCTGTGTTTCATTTCTGGTCCTGTCTGTCACTGCTGGTGGGCCTGACAGGCATTGAGTTGGAGGTTTGTGTTCTTAAGAAAGAAAAAAGTACAAATAAATAGCAATGTTTATAAATGTTCTTTTACTCAGTCTCTGCTTATCAGGTTGCTTCAGACCTCATCTGAACTTGCTCCCTTTGCCAGAGCTGAAACTGCTGTGTGAGAGGAGACAGACAAGTCAGTGGTGAATTAAATCAAGTACCAACAGTTTGTGTGTAAAGAATTATCAACAAGGACAGTTAATTTTGTGTTCAGTTCAGGTCTTACACAGTTAGGACAAAAAATGTCTCAGTGGTTTTGTGGCAAGAAATTGGGTTTTTTGTTCTTCTCCAGAAGGGGAGTAGCACCAATGTGTGTGCTGCTTGCTTGTTCCAAACTATTCAAGAATGCTTAGTTTTCAAAATTTTCATCTCTTCTGTTTTATTCCCCAGTTATGAATTCCATGTGAAGCCTAGGAACCCCCTTGGCGAAGGTCCAAGTAGCAATGTTGTGGCATTCAGTACTGAATCAGGTAAGAACTTCCAAAGACCAGACCATCATTTGCAGCAGTTTTAGTACCCATGTTTGTGGGATGCATGAAAGGATCTCTCATTTCATTTTGTCCATTCCATCTTGCTCTTCACTGTCTCCTGACTGGCTTTTTACCACCATGCCTGGAAAGTCAGCCTGGGATCAGAACTGTGTTGTGTGGGGATGTAAGATGGACAGACTGCAAGAGGGAAAAAACAGAGGAACACAGAGGATTTGTCTGGTATTCATTGCAAAAAAAATTACTTCATCCCTAGAGAGGGCTCAGTCACTTCAGATTTATATTCCTGACCTTTTTGCATCTATCCAACTCATTAACAGCTTCTGGATGGGGAACATTAGGGGTTTTTTTGGGCTGGTGTGTTCATAGGTGTTTTTGCTACCTGTTCAATAAGGCTGCTGTAAACAATGACGTTGTTTGGCTGAAATAAGGATTGAGAAAGAGCTGTTGTGAGAAGTCAGTGTCCCAATAGGTTCCCTTCCATCCTGTTTACTCTCCAGTGAAACAGTTTAAGAGGTGTACACAAGACTGTTTTGGCCATTGGTTGGTTCCCAAGTCAAGTTCTGTCTGACTCAGAAGTGAGAATCAGAGCGCTTTTGCTTTCCCTATTCTTGCTCCCCTCAAGGTTAACTACAGCTGACTTGTTGACTTTAGGCAAGCAAGATACTGTCTTTTGTGCAGAAGTGTTTATTGCTTGGTAGTACTGAAACACCACATAAAACACAAAATGGATTTAGCCTTTCTAAAAGGACTCTCCCAATCTGTGTTTTGAGCCAGGTGTAATAATTTAATAGCCCTCAGCTAGTGCTGTCACTGATGGATGAGAGTTTTGGCTGAGCAAAGAATTACTCAGGGAGGAGTGCAGACTATGCCACACGTATTTAAAAACTCTGAATAAACTCTTTGTAATGTTAGATTGTTAAAAGTGAAAAAAATATTTGCGCCAAATGCAGTTTTCATGAATGACAAGGCTTATGTTCTGTCTCCTGTTTAGTTTGGACAAATTAAGCATCCAGTTTTGTTTTTTCTTAATTGCACACATCCATTTCTCACATTTGGGCTTTCAAAGCCAAGTTTTTTTGTGGCAAATATTACAGATGTGCCCCTTTTATTATTTAGGTTTTGAAATTGAAATTTTAATAAGACGCAGTACAACTGGGTTTGGCTGGTTACAGGTTTAAACTCTAGTCTTTACTAGAAGTCTGTTTGGCTGGTGTTGTCCCATAAGTAAAATTTTTAAAAGCTCATTGATATTGGAGTTTCACATAAGAAATATATTTCTTCTAATTTAATTTAATACAAAAGTTAACTTTGCTTCCAAAACTCTTTCTGTTTCACAAATTACAGCTTACGTCAGCTGTAAAAAATCACTTACCAATGCTTTTCCATCAAATTATTGGGAATGGTCATTTTACAGTGTCTGACTGAATGTTTGTTTTCTTCCCCCAGCGGACCCAAGAGTGAGTGAGCCAATTTCAAGTAAGTGTTTTATATATAAATCTGATCAGCAGTTTTTTCAGAAATGAGATAGCAGAATTTTACGAGGAGGGTGGCTCTGCTGCACCAGCTGGATGAATTACAGAATCAAGCAGCATTCACACACAATTTCACTCCTTCCACACATGCCCCTGCTAAGGAATTCATGAAAGGCTGCTTGTTTACCTGAGCATAAGGCAATCAATGTGATTTGGAACTCCCATGGCAGCCAGGATGGCTTCAAACCAATGTACACAAATGAGCCAAGGACAGCCTCATATTTTCTCAACCTTGTCATTAAAGCAAAGAAAGCTCTGCAAAATGAATAAGCTACTCCACACTTTTTAAGTGAGTTAACAGAGTACAACTCCGAGGATTCTATTTATCTGTCTTTGTGTTTTAGGAAAATTTTCTGCTTCAGAAAGCTTGATCTAGCTCTACTTTAGACCACTTACAAGACTCTTGCTGTCCTTGACAGAAGGTGGACTGAGCTTTTAAAAGGCTGAGAGCATTCAAGCAAATTTTGCTGCTTTTTGTATTTATAATAGACTTCACTTTCACTTTGACAAACACTGTGGCACCATTTTTCTCCACATAATTAATGGCCCTTCATTTTTACATGTACTTTTGTTAGATCACAGTTTGCTGCAAGTTGATTGTCTTGGCTTGAATGCACTGAAGAGTGGTGACTATATCATACACTTTGTAAATGAGAGTTTTTCCAATACAAACATTGTCCCCCCAGCAAGGTCCTTGAATGAATCTATTCCAATCCTGAACCAGAGGACAGCAGGAGAAGTTCACAGCACCAACTGTATCTGCATACTTTGCTGCTTCTCTCAAAAATTTCTCATGTTCAAAATGCAGGTGTCATGGTACATTCTGCTTCATCAAGGTTTCTAATTCTAGTTATTCAAATGTATTTGTTGAGTGTCATTTTGTATGCAGCATCATACTTCAACCTCTTTTTTCCCCCCCTGCAGTGGGCAAAGATGCTATCTGGACTGAAATACCATTCAATTCAGACACATATTCAGAATGCAAAGGCAAACAATATGTAAAGAGGACTTGGTATAAGAAGTTTGTAGGTGTGCAGCTGTGCAATTCTTTGAGATACAAGATATACCTCAGTGATTCACTTACAGGTAAGAAGTATTCAAATCAGTGGTGTCCACATTATATATTCCTGAAAGATATTATGATTCCCAAAATAAGAGGTTTAGTAAGATGACCTCTGCTGAAGTGTGATCAGATTTGTTTAAATTAGTCAGATTAATTATAAATAGTAATCTATTACTATTACTATAGATTAATCATAAGTAGTAATCTGCTTGTGCTCGGTAATCATTGATGTGTTTGATACTGAACTTTCAGACTTCAGAGGAACCTGATTTTAAGTAGCTGTTCATATACTGGGGATCATATAGGAGACTGATAAAGATCAGAGTGAACAGCATATATTTTATATAAATTGGTATTTAAAGGGTAGCCTGGAATAATTAATTAGAGGATCAGGACCTCATTTTAGACCAGAATTACACCTGACATTCCCATCCCTTTTGGTAAACATCTGGTTACTTCATTACTAGGAGGCTTATAAATAAATGGCTTTAACTGTAGCCAACATGTTCTACTCACCTGCTTTGACATTTTTGTTTTGTTTTCCCATTCCCTGTTTTTACTTATGATCTTTTTCCCCCACCCTTTTGTTTTCCTCATATTACTTTTTATTACTAAAGGGAAACTTTCTGGCCTTACATTCTCAAGTTTTGTTTGGTGTTTTGAAGCCAATTGAGTGTGATGTGTTTAAGACCTGAATCAGGTGACACATGCTGGGGAAGCAGCCTGTGAGAAGTGTTTTTCAGCTAGTTGATAGGAGATCTTTTTGTCTCACGCAGCTTGTGCAAGCTATATCTGCTACATTAAGAAATATGTTAACTTCTTACAATGCATCTCAGGCTCCTGGCTCTCTTCTGTGTGAGGTCTCTTACCACAGACAGCTCTGTGACAATGGCATTAGCATGGCACCTGAGCACAAAGACATGTGGGAAATGCCTTTTGAGTGTAAGTCAGACAAGCCTGTCCAACATATGGCATTGAATTAGCTAGGAGAGACTGTGCCTGGAAGAATGCATTTCATAACCTAAAGTTGCCCCCATCTCTGAGCCCAGTGCCTCACAGGAGCAGGGCTCTGGGCTCCATGGAAGGAACATGGAAGGAAAAGATTGTAGGAAAAAAGAAGGAAAAGGGTTGTAGGGCAGCCCACGTTGCCATAATTTTAATCTTCCCTGCCTTGCATCCAGCACCATTCTCTGATGAGCAGACAAGGAAGGAAAGCCTTGTCATTAATAGCAAGTACAATGCTCTGTATGTAAATAATATCTGAGCAGTTATGTGAAAAAAAGAGAATGTTTTGAACAGATGTATCATTCATTCAGCTGTCACTGTACTAACCAGCTGTGATCAAATGACGAGCACTGGCAATGAGGCATGATGTGTCCCAAAACCAGCCAGCAGAGGAAATAGCAGTGCTAATCTAGCAGGACTAGACTTCAGCCCTAAATCAAGTGAATTAGCATAGCAGTGAAAGCTACTCCAATTTGAGAAGAAAAGTTTCATATCAGAAGCCCATTTTCCTATTTTCATTAGATTGTTTTTGTTCTTGCTGGAAGGGTGGTGGTTTAACCTCGCTGGAAGAAGATGAGGTAGACACACTGTATTCATTATACTTGCTAAGCCTGGTTCTTACACTTGAATTGTTACAACCGGTGCTGACCAGTTGTCACAATATTTAAAAGTGAAATAGTTATGTAGGAGGAAAGCTGCCTTTCCCCGGTTGGCTAAGCGAGGCCTCTGCCTGCGAGTGAGAAGTTTTCCCGTTTGAAGCCAAGCTCTGTTCTGATGTGTTTCACGGTCACCTCTCCTCACCGTGCCCCCGAGGCCAGCAGAAGTGTCCCTACAAGCACCAGCCAGCTGGACCGTGTGTGCCAGCAGTGCAGGGCTGCACTGAGCTCTGAATGCCACTGGATGCTGAAAAATCTTCTGAAGCTTTGCTGTTGAAGCAGTATAATTGCCTCAGAACTTGGGTGCGTTGTCCAAATGCTGTTGTGTAAGGCAGGCAACAACTGTATCTTTGCATACCGGTTTTTAGCATGAATTTATTCTTCTAGTGCTGTGGAATTTATAATGTATAAAACAAAGTTTGTATGTGAGATTGTAAGGCCACCCACAAGGAAACACTGGGAAAAAAAATTTACTTTGTGCTAGAATTGCTATCCACAAAACAGAAAACCAGTTATATTTTTTAGCTAAATAGTTTTAAGTGTGTTCTTTTATTGTGGAAATAATTGGGCAGTAAGAGTGTAATAGTAATTGAGAATGCTGCTAATTTATGAAGACCAATTGTTTGAGTTATGCATAGGTTAAGCTGTGGGCCAGAAGAATATGTCTGTATCTGCAAGTTACTGTTCTGGTGTTAGCCATAAAAATATCTGCCTTATTCTTTCTCTTATGGAGAAAAGCTGATCTCCGTTTCACATGCCAGGACTGTTCTATAAACCGGCATCTACTGCTGACCTCATTTAACAGTCCTCCAGAGCAGTCACTGTAGGCATTCCAGAAAAGCAGGCCACCTAAAAATAAGTATTTATTGAGGGAAGGAAAAAAATAAACTCTATGTGTGACCTTCAACAGCTGTGGAAAAAAAAAAAAAAAGAATTAAAAAAAGGCTTTTTTGGGCAGCCTGAATGTTCTTAATTTCAGAGCAAAAAATTGCTGAGAGGAACTCACTCTGACCAGTTCTCCTATGGAAAAAAACATGTCTGCAGCCAAAGCTATATAGCAATAAATAATTCTATAAAGCTAGAGAAGAGCCACATACACAGAGGCCATCAACTGGAGGTGAGAAATTTTGGCAAAGTATTGCTTAGATCACAAAAACATTGGAGTTTATTGGTAGGCTACTCTTTTATTAATTTCTCTTTGGGAGCAGTATTACAACCCATCCCACCACCTCTCAAATGACCAGACTAGCATGGACTCAAGGCTCCAGGACACCCAGTATCTAATGAGTAACTGGACTTTTTGCCTAACTTATACCTGCATCCTGAGCCTTTTTCTAAATGCTTTCACCTTTCCTTTCAACATCTCAACCTAAGGTTGAACATATTGAGAATTAAGTGCTGTGAAAGATTAGAAAGCATGGTAAATTCTGAAAGAAAGGTAAACCTACAAAGGTTTCTGTTACAGGTTTGGGAAGAGAATGTAGCATGCTCTCCTCCATCTCCTGAACTGAATTTTACTGATGTCTTGCAAATCAAATCAGCAAGTAAAAACATCTGTCAAAGCTCCTTCACTGTGCCAGTTAACAGGATAAGCACAGAAGTGTCATCAGCGCATGCTACATGGGACACATGAGACCTTGATTTCTACTCAGTTGCAGTCAAGTGTACTGTTCAGCAATCCTGAAAGTAAATACATGGGCACACTCCATGCTCTGGAGAAGTACTTAGTATGCAAGGTCATCTGTATGTTAAGGGCTATCATTTGCATATACATGTTGTAAAAATATGATGATTTATAAAGCAGGCCTTGGCTATGTTAGGAGGTGGTCTATAAAAACATCTCTGAAGATACTGGGGGTTTCCTGACAGGGAACCAGACCTGCCTTCCATTCAGAGCACTACCAAAACTTGCTTTTTGATGATGTACTTGGTAGTAACAAAATTTCCCTTACTGTATGAAATGTAAGGAGAGGGGAAAATTATATCCATGCATACATTTTGGCCAGGAGTGGGGCACTTTTGCCTTAGCCAGGAGCACTTGGAACCTGCACGTCATGTTCAAATTACAGCTACAGGTCCTGAGAGGAAAAGAATCATAGCGTTCACCTTGGCTTCCCCACAGAGGAAAGAGCACAGCCCATTGCCTCTGGTGGTTTTTGAAAATAGCCTTCACTAACTTTGCTGCTTCTTTGCTTTCAGGAAAATTTTATAACATAGGAGACCAGAGGGGCCATGGAGAAGATCACTGCCAATTTGTAGACTCATTCTTAGATGGAAGGACAGGACAGCAAGAAGATCTACCAGTCAAAGACGGTAATTCCTAACACCTGTCTCTAGCAAATCTTGGCAATTCTTTGTTTGTTCTTTTTCCTGCCAGTGGATTCAATGCCCACTGCTGGGGTGGGCGATGAAAGGCCAGCTTTGCAGGCAGAAGAGGGTCAAGAAGTTTTTGACAGTGAATGATGACTTATTAGGATGGTTATGACTTGGATTCTGTTAGGTAGCAAACAGCCTCTCTCCTGTTTAAAACAGCCCAACGAATTATTCACAGTTGGTATTACATATTTAAACCCAACCACAAATCTGAGTTTGCAGAGAGGCATTAAGTGGTGTGCTTAAACTAGCAAGGTTGATTTAAAGCACAGTACATAATCCGTTGGGCATTAAAATACCTTGTTTGGTACTAACGAGAAACTGAAAAGTTATAGCTGGAAAATATAATTCATGCTGCAGTAATTTTGTGTGTACTGATTGCAAAAGGGTGCCCAAAATTCCAGCCTGGTCTAAGTGGACATGGGACTGGGTGTGCTAAACACAGCTGTGACCGGCCTGGCTATTTTTCACTCATTGCTGAGGCTGAGGCATACGAAATTTGTACTTTTGTCAGCTGAACTGCTGCCTTGCTGCTTGGCAGCAGTGCCAGGCTGAGGTGTTCTGTTCCTAGTGGGGTAAGAACGCAGGCTGTGCTGGTACGTGCACACGTGCTGAGCGTCTCATGGAACATTTTACTGAGGAAAACAGCAAAACAGTTTTCAGTACACTATCAGCGTGTTGACCAAACCTTCCTGTGCTCCATTTACAAAACACCCCACACGAGTCCAGAAATGCGTTGAGGTAGGTGCAGGAGATGAGTGTGAAGTTACTAAGTCTTTCACAAATTTTTCCAAAAAACAAAGTAGTTGAATGGTCTGAAGGGTGTTTGTTATGTGTTTTGTGAGCTTTTTCTAAAGAGGCTTTTGCTTTCCCTTCCCAGTCAGTGCTGCCCAATTGAAAGGATATTTTGCCTAGGAGATGATCAGAATCAAATCTGCATTGCCAGACCAGCAAACTTCTCAGTTGTACCAGATTCACAGTTTTAAAAATATTTGAATATTTAAAAAAACTTTTACCTAACAACCTTGCTACCTCAGTTTAAAAGACACTTAAAAGCAATTTGATTTCAGCAACTGGATTTGAGTGAATTTGTGAGCTACACTCATTTTTAGGCCAAAACAAACAACGAAACAAGCAAACAAAAGTAGTTTTCAATAGCTTGTTTTCTAGTAAATGAACTGAATAGAGAAAAGAAAGACCAACAGACCAATTGCTCTGGCTGCTGCAGGTTGATTTCTGAATACCTATATGTATTTGACCTGAAATGCTGTCAGAGAATCACAGCCAATGCTGTCTCTTAGCTGCAGAACAGTATTTTGTGTGCGTGTGTCTATGTGTCTGCTCCAGCCACACATAGATTCCTTATGGCCAGGTTGGATGGAGCCCCAATTCCCCACTTTAATTTGAAACTTAATGTTGTTTTGAAGGGGAAGTAAATGTGTTGTAAAAGGCAGCAGAGTGAAAGCCAGGAGGATGATTTCTCATGTAAGGATGGGGAGACAGAGTGAACTATCCCCAGTGTCCGGGTTTTATTGAGGTCCACTGCAGTGTCAACTTTGCAATGTGGAGCAGCCTCCTGTTCCAGGAGCCCAGCATGGACAGAGGGGGCACAGGCTGTGCCCAGCCAGCACCACCCACGGCAGGGTGCTGGGATGCCCAGGGGAGGCAGGCTTCACCTCTGTGCTGCCATCCCAAGCACTTTGGCTTTGAGTTGGGTGGGAAAATTGCAGAGTGCTAATGGATGTAGGGGCAGCAAACAGCCCTGTTTGTGGCAGTCAGGTTAACGGCTCGGTGACTACTTTAGCCACTCACTGCAATGTTACAGGCGTCCCAGGGAGCCAAAGCGTGGTACTGTCCTGAGAGCTTCACGCAAACAAAACTCTCTTCTCTGTTCCAGGCTTTTTCAGGGCAGTTCGTCAGGAACCCGTCAAATTTGGGAAGATAGGCGGGGAGACTCAGATTAACTACGTCCGCTGGTACGAGTGCGGCACATCGATACCTGGCAAGTGGTAGATGCCACGTGAGGTCGGTGCAGAGGCCCAGCCCAGCTGCCCAGCGCAGGCTGCAGGAAGGCAACGCTTACGGTGCGCCCGGCACTTCGGTGTTGGCTGACGTGCGAGGCTTGTGCCAGTCTAATGCCAATACTGCATTAATTGTGTAATAGTGTAGGCTGCTTACTGTAGTTATCCAGTGTTACAAACTTGTTTTTAGAATAAAAAGAAACACAGGCTAGGGACATGTTGTAGGATAATGTATAGGGAAGCTGGCTCCCTATTCTTGAGGTATGGTTTATATGGTATTTTAAAAGATACAGTGTGTATATTATTTATCACGATGTTGTAATAAATGTTCAAGGCACAGATATGCCAGAGTTGGTCATGGAATGCAATGTGCGTTAGTTTTTAAATATTCACTGGTCCTGTAATGCAAGTGCCATAAGCTACCCATCCTAACCCACCTGTAACATCTCCCAGTCGTAAATTATAGAAAAGATCCTATAATTTTTAATATTCTGCAGCCAGTAAACTTGAAGCACTTTCTCCTTACACATAGTTTATGCTCCTGCCAAAACGCCGAGGCAGGTTGCTGTATGTGCAGCTTTAAATGATCAAGTTCAGTGGGGTTTTCTTCTGTGTTTGTTTTCAAATGTGTCAGCCCCAGCCAAAGCCACGTTCAGCCTGCCACGGTGGAGTCAGCGCCGCTGCCCGTGAGCCTGGCAGGGAGGGCTGGTGCTCTCTAATTGAAGTGGACAGGTACATATGTACATGGAATGAAGAAACAAAGCTGGCCTGGCTGCAATGAAAAACCCGGCTGGGGTTTTTCAGGAAAATGCAGTTTTCAGAGCCTGACACTTACTGCTTCAAAAGCCAAATGTACGTACCGTGCAAGGGAACTTGGGAAGACAAATGAAAGAGGAAAAAGAATAAACTAGTTATAACAGCATGATCACGTTTATTTAAAAGGAAAAATTCTGGTTTAAAACATTTTTCATTGGGGACAAAGGGGAAATACTGATAACTGAACTTTGAAATTGCTTTACATTTATTTTGATTAAAACCTCTCCCAAAGCTACTTGTTGTACCGCTTGAACATTTACGAACTAAATAAAGAGATGTAGGTTTTTTTAAAGGTGTTATTCATTATCTTACTAATGTATTGAAGAAATATGAACAGGAACACCCAGATCTATATAGTAGTCATTTATAGAAAATACCTTATAAAGTACATTGCAGGTACACTGTACTCCTAATAAAATATTTTTTAATCAAGTGGTTTTTTTCAAGTGTTTTACATGGAATCAAGGGCTAGTTTCTGTGGTAAATGCTGTTATTCAGAACAAACTGCTTGCTGGACACAAGCCCTTGTTAAATGGGATGTGTTAGGTACCAGAGCAGAAATGGGAGGAGGTACAGCCACAGCTTACTGGCTAGCTGTGGGCACTGCACTGTTTAAGGATGCTGAAGATAAGAATGTTTTCACTCACTTCCTAATTTTTCTTTAGGAGAATTCAGGCAGCTTGCTCCAGTTCATTTTTTTATTCCCCACTTAGTTTTACATATTCCTAGAATCTGCAAAATGGAAAATATTAACTGGGAGAACGTTTTGCCCTCTGCTGTAATATGGTCTATTGACTTCATTACAGCCCTTGATCTGCTTTTTCTTGGCTCAAAATTGAGTCACTAGGATTGCACTCCCAAGTTTTCTGGGTGGCAAAGAACCACCCAGAAGAACTGTGGAGTCACAGTCAAAAGCTGGGGGGTTTTTATCAGTTCTTTTTTAAAGACACACATTTGGTTTAAATTTTCAAGTAATAAATTAATTCTCCCCCACACCTTGTTAATGCAAAATTGATAAGAGGCTTTAAGATTTTATGGATTGGTTCCTAACCATTTGGTAAAAGGGTCACTTGACAATTAATGACAGCTGACAGCACAAAACCACCCCCAGCTGTGAAACCTCTGTGAAAGCCATCTGCAGTCCTGCACTTCTCCATTTACACACCCAGAACTCTGCCTCTCCTCCTGCAAACCCCAGCACACTGCTGCTCTTTACCACGAAAAAAAGAGCTGGGGCTCTTTGCCCCCAGCATGCACACTGGTCTTTAGCACAGTTGCCTTGTTCAGTATTCCCCAACTTCTAAAATCAAGATCAGGCATTTAATAGATTCAGGGTTTTTATTAGTTTTTCCATGTGAACATTACAATTTATAATACATCATATCTAGTTTGACTTCCAGAATGAATCTAATTTAGTACATCATGGTATTAGTAAAAACAAGCCTGATAAGTGGGCTAAACTTTCAACTAGTATCTTCATATCCTTCAGACAAGGCAAGCTAGAATGTCAATCACTTTACAGACATTTAAGTAGTGTTTTCCAAAAACCACCCAGCCCCAAATTAAACTAGGAAGCAAATACAATTTAAAGCAGGAAAGATTTGGTCATTTCCCTCCCCCAGCAGAATTTAATTAACAGCTATAGTTTTGCCTCATTACAGTTTTGGAATCTCGATTAAAAATCCTGGAGTCTGTCGGGATGGAATCGCACGTGTCAGTCGCTGTCTTCAGGGGCACCTCCTTAGCGGTAGCCGGGCCCGGGCTGGGTGTAGCCCTGCGGCCCGAAGGGGGGACGGCTGCGGGCGTAGGGGTTGGGCCCGCTGGGCGGGGGGGTCATGGTGCTGCCGGGCGGGGGGGTGAA